AATATCACTGGATAAAGCGGTGAATTGATGGTAAGGAGCTGTATGGTTTCAGAGTGCAGAGAACCGATGTTGAGAGTTATGGGTTGTGTGATGGACTGCACCCTCCCGGTCCCCAGGGGGCGCCCGTCCAGCGCTGCCACCTCCACATGAGAATCACAAGGGACGAGAGAGAGACGGTGAGTTTCGGCAAAAGTGATATCAACAAAACTTCCTGCCGCTCCAGAATCAATTAATGCTTTAGTTTTCACAGTCTTGCCATTACATAGTAAAGAAACTTCCAGAACCAATGAGTTAAGAGGAGAAGTCAACGGACTCACCGCACTAGGAACTGTTGAAGTGGATCTCCCCTGGGGTCTCACAGGACAGGACGCTCTCAGATGACCGGGTTGAGCGCAATACAAACAGAGATTGTTCCGCCTTCTTCTCTCCCGTTCGGCCGAAGAGATATGCGTGACGCCGATCTGCATAGGTTCGGGTTCAGTGCTGACCGATGGCTTGAAGAAGAAGTTCGTCTGATATGATGAGCGACGAGCCCTGATGAGGTGATCAAGACGAATGGCGAGATCCATGATTTGATTTAAAGTCTTTCCATCGTCGCGGCAGGCTAGCTCTCCCTGTAGCTCCGAGATGAGACCCTTTCGGTATAAGAGCTTGAGTGGTTCATCGGTCCAGCCCGTCTGTGCAGCGAGTGTCCGAAATGCGAGAGTGTAGTCAGCCGCTGTGGAGTTTCCTTGGCGTAACGAAAGAAGAAGCTCCCCCGGATCCTTGCCATCCGCCGGATGCTCAAACACCTCTCTGAATTGAGTAACAAACATATCATAAGAGAGTGTAGAAAACTGACCTCCTGACCACATCGCGGTTGCCCACTCCAGCGCTTTTCCGGTTAGAAGCGAACACACAAAGGCGATGCGGCTGTCGTCGGTGGGGTGCTCCCGTGACTGGTTGAAATAAATCTCACACTGCATCAGAAAACCTTTACAAGCGATGGGTGACCCATTGAATTTTTCGGGCAGTGACATTCTGGGATTGCCGGAGAAGGTACTTCCGACCGGTTGAGGAGGCGCAGGTGCAGCGGGCGTGGGAACCCGATTTGCAGCGGTGTCGGCGGGGGTGAGTGCTTGAACAGATCTCACCAGTTCCTCAGTGAGATTAGTAAGTTTTTGCAGCTGCTGACGATGAGACATCAACTCGGATGCTTGTGATGAAACCTCGTGGGCCAGGCGGAGAAAATCTGCTGGATCTTGTTTTGGCGAAGTCTTCTGTAATGCTGGGGCAGAGGCGTTGAGATCCATTTGCAGAGTTTTATTTAAACATGCAATGAAGCAGTGATAGACAGACATAAACTGTGCTAGTAACAGGGCAATCCAAAATCATCAACTTCATACAGGCAAGGGTCAGGGCAGGCAGCAAGGTTCACAGAAACGAGGATCCAGGCAGAGATCAGAGTACCAGAAAATCACAATAAACAGGAATAAACGCTCGGTAATGATAGCTGATAGAATCAAGACTTCGCAAAGTCACAATGACAAACACAGTCCTTATAAAGGGGCACTAATGAGGAACAGGTGATGCAGATGGGACTAATCAGATGAACTAGGCAGGTGTAAATCCAAGGGGGAGATGGGAAATGCAGTTCCTTAATAATCTGGAGAGAGGGAACGGATGAAGCCAGAGGGAGGCGCAGCCGAGCTCTCTGTCACAATTCTCTTTTAACCACTAGATGGCATACAAATTCATCGTAGCAATTTTATTAACAACCGCTTTTCATTATGAATATGGAAATTCGGCTGATTCTTGACGCGATCGCGGGCAACGGCGATTGAAATCTAATTTGATCTAATATTTAGTGTTGTTTTTTTTTGTTTTGTTTTTTTAAATATGTAGTAAATAGAATTGCTAAAATTACTGACTATTTGAGACAAATTTTTTTCAATTTTGTTAATTTTTGTTCAATATTGTAAGTATATGTAAAAGTGTGGTATATTTGGGGCAAAAGGCGCCCCTGCTGTTGGGGTGAAAGGTACAATAATTAACTAATTCAATAATTCATATAAACAATAATTCATAAATGTATTTATGTATGTATGTATTGTAAAACTTTATTAAACTATGGTGGGATCTCATTCGATGCTTTAAGAATCTTTACCTTTTAATATTTGTATTTTCAAAATGATAATATTTTCATAACAGTATTGAATAAAATTTGATTATTATTTTTTTTTTTACATTTATCCAAATAAACTCCAAAAGGGTGCAATATTTGATAGTATAATAATAGTATTAGGCTAACTTAGACATTATAAAAATATAGGTTAACCTATTTGTATCAATAGTGTGTGTCTTTTGCCCAGTGCTGGTTTTGCCCCGTGTGTTGTCCTTCCTCGCCACCTCATACATTTCTAAGATTTTTAAACAAAATAAACCACTTTTATGGTTAATTTCACACAAAATATGTTGCTCCAATGGTCAACACAGTTGTGTTTTCTGCAATCATAAACTATGGGACTTTACTGTGCCTTTAGCCCTGTTTTACCCTATATAATATCATCCGTACTGAGAACAGATTTAATTTATACCGCGGTATAATCGTTACTATTTTAGTTCCTTCGCAACCGCGGGATGGGAATCATGCACCCTCAAAATCTGAGCGCTTTGGGGAGGCTTTCCTAAATTCTTTCGTTTATTTTATTTAAACTATGACCTCTGTCTCTCTGTAGTGTATGGCATCATTCTTGGCCGGGCACGACATGACAACAATGGTATTTTTTTTCACTGAAATCTAATCTTCGTTCTCCGGTTTCCGTATTTGTGAAGTTCCACCTTAAAACAACAACAACAGTGTTTTGGCCCCACGTGCTCCCTGTAGTTGTGATTTTGTCCTCCCCGCAGCAGCTGTCACCTCGCATTACTCGCAGTCAGCTAAATGAAACATTATTCTAAACATATGCATCGTAATCAGTTCGGTCACACTTACAAGAACACGCGTTAATAAGGCAATCAATCACGGTGGAACAAGCGAGTTGTTCTGCAACAGCTCATAAACAGTGCGTAATGAAGAATTGGAGGTTAGCATGACACGCGCTGATCAGATAATCAATGTCAAAGATGCGATGAATGTCAGTAAATGTGGGTTTTATGTCGTTTCTATAAAATCTTCAATTTACAACAAGCAGTTCAATTACCCAGAAAATACAGTCAATTAAACGGGCGTGATTGGACAGTAGCGCGAGGATCATCGATCTTTGCATTTCTATCTCGGTGGTGGACATTTAATTTGGTTTTTCTATTAGCACCGAAATAAAGGAAAAAATAAAATATATTAAACAAGCCGCAGATTTATTTTCTTGTCAAAAGCAATTCGGCTGAGGTGACAGACAGTTTGCGGCATTTTATGATGAATTCTTTTTTCAGTCTATGCGCATTGGATACACAACTGATGGCGTTATTCGGCCAGTGTTTTTCTGCCCTCTGTCTTCTCCAGTTTGCCTCTCCATCTATCTCAATGCCTTTGTTGTATGGGTTGTAACCCTCGCCTTGGTAAAGAGCATAACGAAACATGGCGATACATCACACTCTAATCCCATTTCTTTAATGGGGACGTTCAGAAAGAAAGCAACTTATCTCAAAGTCCCCCGGGAATATCCCGGTATATATTTAACCAGGCTGCAATTAACGACAGTATCAGCTTGTATCATTTAGAGGTAATGTAAAAATAATGGTAAATTATAGGGCCGGAATGACCCGTGATCGCAGACTTCATATTCCCTATAGTTTTAGTGTCGTTTTAATTAATGCCAGACTCACTTTCTTACCAGAGAGAGAGAGAGAGAGAGAGAGAGAGAGAGAGTAACAGAGTAGGAACACCGCTTCACACTATTGGATATTTTTTTTCTTTTTCATTGATATATTTAAAAACAAGATGAAAAGACATCAGTTGAATTAAACACACATTTTCAAAATGTGGCTACTTAAAATAAATTGAATTTGCGAGTGTTCATTATCATTTAGAATTAGACAGATAAAAAAAAAACTAAATCAGAATTCGAAGTGAATGACACGTCACAGGCCACATCATTCGATTTCGAATTTGCTCGACTTTGATGCGTTCCGTTGATTTAATTTGCTACGTGCACAATGATAATAACGATATTAAAAATTGCGTTTTAAATATTTATTTTCCAAGAACAACACCATCAATAAATAACATAATATACATTTTTATATTGCACATTTTTCTCAAGTGAAAATATGAAAATTCATACAGTCGGCAATATGTAAAATACAGAGACGTAATGTACAGAGTCGTGAATCACGGCAAATCCCTTGGGAGAGGAGCAAAACACTGGGATTTTAGTATTGTCATTTATTGAACAGACGGCAAACAGCCTCGCGGAACAACTCACTAACCTTTTTTTTTATCTTCTTCCATTTGAAAATCTAACAGCAATGTAATATGCTTTATTTACAACGAGTCTGATCATTTTGGTTTGCGACTTCATTTGAGGCCTAATATTTATTCGCTTTCGATTTATGTCAGATTGTTTTGATACCTAAAACAATTGCGTAATAAACAGTCAACAAAATAAATTATATTAAAAAAAATGTAAAAGCCTATCAATACCGTTAATAATTTCGTATGGCAGTCAACATTTTCGTGACTATATACGTGTTATGGCAAAATATCTCAGCATTTGATCTGTACAAGTGCTATTTTGTTATTTTTAAAATGTGGTTTTATATGAGGCAGAATTGCGCAGTGACAAAAAAAAATATGTATATGCTGACAGAAATGCATGAGCAATTTGTCTGAAGTTTGGGGTTGTGTGGATAATCCCATTATATTGTGAGTGAAGAGTCTCTACTGGGAGTATTATGGAAATATCGGTTTGGATTTAATGAGACTGCTCGCATCAGCGGAACATCTCTGAGAGAAAAGCCTGCCCAGGCCGGCCAACCTTCCAATAAGAAGATTGGAAATAGGACTCGGTGGAAAGGGGATATTTTTCTTTTTTTTCTTCTTTTTTTCTTTTTTGAATAAAAAAAATCTCAGGTAACGAATACCACGTTTAATACTGTACAATCTACACACCGAGAACAATGCGTAATGCTCAAGGTCTTTTATCTATCTTGTCTAATGACTTCCCACAGCGGGTTGTTATGCTCTGACAGCGAGTCTCAGAACGGGAACTTTCTTACATTTCCACATTCAAAGGAGGTCCATCAAGGTACATGATTGGCAATTTTCGTCATAATCTTCACATTATTAACAGCAGAATTGACATTGTAGCAGTAGTGCAGATTTTATGCGACACACTCCTATCAGGGAGAGTCCCTCGAGCAGCAACACTTTTAGAGTAGCATCATTATCTCGCGCCTGGTCCCTTAACCGATGCTAAAGTGGCACAACCAGTGTATATATTCTCTTTACTGCACGATCTAAAACAAAATAACATTTGCGTACACTCTTAAAAAAAAGGTTATTTATTGGAATCCATGGAATCTTTCCATTCCACGAAAGGTCATTTATATTCAGATTTTTAGAACGATTTTTCTTCACACTAAGGGGAAAAAAGTTTTTGTTGTTGTTGTTGTTTTTTTAAGAACTGTTGACTCCAGGGTTCCTTGGGGAACCGAATATGTTTATGCTAAAACACTCATTTTGGAACCTTTATTTTTAAGAGTGTGCATTTAATAATAATAATTGAAAACGAAAAATTAAAAGTAAAGTGTAAATCTGCTTATTATTCAATGTTGTAATACAGTGTGTTCTAAAGGCCTTATTTTAAATACATCTTTATAATTCATCAGAGCGTTTATAGGCCTTATCGGAATGGAAATGCTGTCACTATGCACTCTAAAAACGCTGGGTTGTTTTAACCCAATTTTGAATTAAACATGGATAAACTTTGGGTTAGAACGTCCATATTTGACCCAAAGTTGGGTTGAAACAACCCAGCAGTTTTAAGAGTGTAAATTTAAAAAATAATATCAATAAGAATAAAAATAATTACATGTCCTTCAAATAAAAGAGTGTACTATGCCAGTACTAAGCTATCTATTGAGCGCGCTCTCCTCTCTCTGGTCCGGTGAGGGCACCGCGGTTTTGCTGAGAACCGCGGCCGAGTATGGCAGGAATCCGCTCTCGGACCTCTGTCCGCTCGCAGTGCAGGTGAAGTCAGAGCTGGAGCTCCTGGAGCCGAGGGCACTGGCAGCCTGACTGCTGTGGCAGCTGAGACACGAGCACGGACCCGCCGCTGAAGGCGCACCGACCGCCGCAGCCGCAGCCGCCGCCGCCGCTGCTGCCGCTGACGCCGCCGCGGAGCTGTTCAGGCCCGCGGGAGACTGGTACAGTCCTGGGTGACGGAAGCTACACAGCAGCTCCGGGCGCGAGTATGGGTGAGAAAGCGCACGGAAAGTATCGAGGGGCCGAATAGAGGTAGCGAAAGGTGAAGACGCGGCCCCTGACGCGGCCGCCGCAGCAGCTGCTGCCGTGACACCGACGTGGGGGTAATAGTGTAGTGGCATGTGGGAATGGAAAGGGTAAGGCAGACTTCCGGTGGCGGCCGCGTGCGTCATCATATAGGTGTAGAAACTGGGATCCGCGGGATGTGGCCAGGACATGGCGAGCCGCTGCCGCTTGTCCTTCATTCGTCGATTCTGAAACCACACCTACACAGAAACACACAGGTAACAATTAGGGATGAGCGGAACAACACAACTAAACGATTAAACACTAACTGGCAAACAACCGCAGGACATAAGCATCTGCAATAATATTGGTTTAAGCTTTTTCACCAGAAAATAATTTACGCAATCGATTACGCAGATAATTCTGTAAATGCAACCCCTTTGGATAAGCTGAAAAGAGGCATGTTTCTGCATCAGACACAATAAAAATATCTGTGTTTAACAGTATAACCCCACTTTTATTTATTTTATTTTTTTTGTAAACAGCATTTACCAGAATTAGAACGCGGACATATGCAATTGCGTGTTTTCGTTTGTGTATTAATCTACTCCTTGAACCTCTGTGAAATATCTGTAAAAGCATAATGAATTAGCAGGAACATATTCGATCTGCTCTGGAAGAGGTGAACCAAATCATGACCATATATAGCCTACCTTTATTGTTGTTTCGGGTAGATTTAATGCTGCGGCCAGTTCACATCTTCTGGGTCTTGACACGTAGTTTTCCCTGTAAAATTCTTTCTCCAATCTGCCAATCTGTTCCCGGGTAAACGCAGTCCGATACCTCCTCACTTGGTCCGAGCTCGAGCTGGAGTTTCCCATAGAATTACCGTTCAGATTCGAGAGAGACGAACTTGAATTGGAGGCCCCTGAATTACTGTCCGAAAAACCTAAATCGGATAATGAAAGAAATAAAATATAAATGTGTACATTTATTTGTTCTTTTATCACGCTAATTTGCACATTAAAATAAAATATACAAATACATGATTTATTTATAAATTGTAGCTATTCGGTTCAACGGGAACTTGTTGGGATTACATTTAACTTTATTTGTCGCAAAGATGTAGCGCGCGAGTATTTTAAACCAAAAATAGAGAATAAACAATTAAACGTATCAAACAATTCGAATGCATATTTTTAGCATTGCAAAATGTATACAGTCTTATGTCTATAATGCAATCGCAGATCATTTAATTCAGGTGATAAAAATGCAACGCAGAGAGGCTTTAGAAAAAAATAAAGGTTCATTATTGGAATGTTGCAACAAAAGGATGGTAGAAAAATATTCTTTAGATTATTAAAACGAATTTTTATTTAAAAAATTGTTATTTTAAGAAATCTTCTTTGGGGGAACCGAAATTGTTCTCCTTTTTTGGAGCTTTTATTTTTAAGAGTGTATGAAATAAATTCTAAAAATAACATCAAATGGAATTTGAATTAGAGCTGTACCTTCCAAGCTTTGGAATATCCACTCAAATTAGCATTCGAACGAATGAATACAGTTTCCATGCGGTTTGTTTACCTTTGCTGTGGTTTTCCTTGTGTTGGCTGATGCTGCCCGGCGAGCGATGAGACGGGCATCCCACTTCCACATCACTGTTCATATCGGAGTCAGGAGAAACTTCAGGATACAGGTTTATTTTCTTCCTGCTTTCGGAGGACGACACTTCAGTGGAGGAGGTATTGTCGTTGTGGTGGTTTCCAAACAAGCTGTCTATCTCGAACTTGCCTTTGGTGGGAATATCCCCGAGCCCGCCGTGTATTCTCGGGCTGAGGCGACCGGCGTGCGGAGAGTTTTCCAGGGCCTCAAGCACCGCGTTCCCGGCAGAGTCGGTGAGGTTGGAGAGCCTCTTTCCCGCCACTGGACTGTGTAGTCCCCTTTCCATCAGAATCATCTCTTTTCTTATCCTCTCCATCATGAAGTCGTGCAGATAAAAAAAAAAAAAAAAAAAAAAGAAATCCAAAGTCCCAGGGCTGGTGCTCCGATGACTAGTGGCGGATCTAATCCGCATTCAGCTCAGCTGCCGCCTCTAAATAATATAACACCTTTATGAGCTGGAAGCAAAAAACAGAGGAATGCCAGTGCGGGCAACGAATGACTGCTCAAAATGACCCGCGCATCCTCTCTGGTCCAGAAAGTCGTTCATCAAAAAGTGGTTTGCGCCTTCGTCGTTAAAGGTGCGCGTGACGCGGTTCGAATGATCATTTATTGTAACAGGTTTATAAGCAAATAAATAGGAGAGAGACTGTCATCGGTTGATAGAGTCGGCCCTTGATCGGCCAGACGCGTATATCCAGGTGGAGAGAGAGAGGAGAAGTGAGGAGAGCAGCTTCTGATCGGACTCTGTTTTAGATGGCTCCTGGGGTTGGCCTCTGGGGTGAAATTGACAGTCTGATTAATAAAATGAGCGCGGCAACATTTCCCTCTTCATTTAGGAATATCATTATGCTTTGATTCTCTATTGTTCCTTCCTTCTGTTCTGGCTCTCCCACTCCCTCTCTCACTCTCTCTCTGAGCTCTGTTTCTTTTTTCTTTCTCTGTCGATTATTTCACAACAGACGTTTTCGAATGAGAGGCATTAGTTAAAGATTTTTGCATCCAATTAGAAGATCCCGTTGCGAATATTGTTGTTCGTTACAAAATAACTATATGGAGAAATTCAATTTTGTGGCATTATTTAAACGCTGTGGTTTTCTTAGACTATATTTGTTGGAGATAAATGACCCGAACGTTTGCAAATCTCATCAATATTATTATACAATTTTTGAATCGTTTATTGGTAGAATTATATGTATTATTTTGTTATTAGTAGACGTTCTCGTTTTGCATTTTATGTATGCTGAAATCACGAGATGATATTTTCAAATGTCAAATGATTGATGCTAATTTAACTGAAAACATGTAAAATTAACAAATGTTTTCGATTTTTAAACCCATGTTTAAAATTCGTGGTATGAACGACTGAATCAAAAGTAATACGACGGGGAAAACCCTTTTATTTATTTTGTGTATATTGCGAAATGGAATAATGTAATATTTATTCTATGCTTATCGCTACATATTTATAATATGCCGATCTTGTATAGAGATTATAATTATGATCAATGCCAATCTAGATTGCCAATCGTGTTGGTTATGCGTATACACACAATACATCTAACACTTTATTTTACAGTGTCATTGTGACACTGTGAGTATGCAAAATTACATGCAACCAAAGCCAAGCAAACCCTAATCAAAACCCTATTGTAAATACATGTAGTTAACTAATATTACGCAGTACTTAATGTATAATTACAGTGTAAAAAATAAATATAATATCCAAAGGGGAAGGCTATTTCTCTTTATACATATTTCTTACAATATCTCTCCAACGCTGTAAAATAGGTAAGTATTAATCCGTTTTAAAATGTGTTCCTGCAGCTATAGTGTGTGCTCTCAAATCAAGTGTTAAGGTGTGGGCATGAGCGGCTCTGTAAGGCGAGGTTAAGTTATCCACTTCAAGCTGAGAGAGCGCGCGTGACCGAGACGCGCACTAAACCGTTTGCGCGTCCTCTGGCGCCCTCGCCAGTTTTACATCAGATGATACAACAGCTTGAATTCAGTGAGCCATCATCAACCCACTTTCCCATTTTGTTCAAATAATTCTTTAACAACAGTTCTAACCAGTTTGTTCATTTATTGTAACCTATTATATTTTATCAATTGTGACATCGGTAGAATCGAATGACATGTTCAGATCATTGTTAAAAATATTTGTGAAAAATAATAACTTTAATACATGATGAGATGAATGAAAAAAAAAATGTCATCACTCTTGTTCCCATCCTGTATGAGCTTATTTCTTCTGCTGAACACAAAAGAAGATACATATATAGTTGGTTTTTTTCATAAGGAAGTCAATGGGGCAGTGTCTGGTTACCAACATTCTTCAAAATATCTTCTTTTGTGTTTGGCAGAAAGAGGAAACTCATACAGGTTTGGCTTACAAGTTGACGGCGAGTAAATGATGACATAATTTAGATTTTTGGGTTAACTTTCCCTTTAAGCAGACAAATAATTACATTTGAATGTAATTTGTTAATTGCTATTTCAAAACTATTATATTCGAGATTAAAAAAAGTATTGATCTTTATTAAAGCTATACTCACATGACAGTTGATTACTTAAAACGTGGGAGACTGGGTGTGATTGGAACATGGGGAGAATTGTAACATCACCAATCAGGGATAAACTTGGAGTCCCATGATCATTTCAGTGTTTATCCAATTCCTCACAGATCCTTTATCCCACTGTATATTATTTATTTATTTATTTACCAAAACTGTATTATGTGCAGTATTTAAACTTTTGCAAATAAAACCATATAACTTATTAGGGGTCTGAATATTTTGGGAGACTACCTAATGATAAAGCTGACTGCAGTCATACATGAGCAAGGCAGCCCTAAGACAAATAGAAAAACGTCTCAGGTTGTGACTGTAACTCTAGTTTCCTGAAAAGGGAACGAAACGCTGCGTCGATGACGCTTTGGAAACGCCCCTGCGTGATTGCGTCTGAAGCACGTACCCCAACTAGTCCAATGGCGAGAGTGAGCATCATGGGTGGATTACGTCACGACCAGGAAAGGATAAAAGGACATCCGGTCTGACCGGCATTAGCTTCGATATAGCCGAAGCAAGTCGATCACAGGAATGTAGGAAGTATAGCAGGGTAACGCAGCGTCTCGTTCCCTTCCCTTACAGTCATAAGCTGAGATGTTCCCTTTTGAGGGAACTCACACTGCGTCGATGACGCTTTGGGAACGACAATACCAAAATGCAGTACTTACAATTGCCTGTATGAGAAACTGTTGGAGGAGCACCCTGCCGCATCACAAACCGCTTGAAGGGAAACTCTTGATAATAAGGCTTTAGAGGCTGCCATACCTCTAATAGAATAAGCTCTGACCACCAAAGGGGACGCTAGCCAGAGGACTCATAGGCAAGAGAGATAGCCTCAACGATCCACTTGCCATTTGTCTGCTTAGAGGCTGGATAACCCATCTAGGTGATCCAAAGCAAACAAACAACTGATCTGATTTGCACCTTAGGGACATATCCCTGTTTAGGGTATAAGAATGCCTTGACCATCCCGGGTGCAAATTCAAGGCAGGTGGGAGAAACCGAAAGGGCCTGAAGGTCTCCGACTCTTTTGAGGGCCGAAATAGCTAGAAGAAAGATGGTCTTGAATGTCAGAATTTTTTCTGAAACCAACTCTAGTGGCTCGAATGGAGTCCCTGACAGGCCTTCCAAAACTATTGCTAGGTCCTATGCCAGTACCCTAGTGCGAGTTGCAGGCCTCAGGCTCAAGGTGCCACGAAGGAAACATGTGATCAGGGGGTCTTGACCCAACGATGTATTACCCACCGGGGCGTGGAAAACCGCAATGGCCACCACATAGACCTTTAAGGTGGATGGACATAAACCTGATGCAAAGCGATCTTGTAGAAACTCAAGTACTGTACAAACTGAACAGTTAAGATCCCACTGATGCTGGTGACACCAAGAATTAAATACTTTAGTACATTAATTTCCTCGAACCTGGAGCTCTGAAGCTTAGGATGGTCTCAACAACCTCAGTTGAGAGACCAATTTCTATGGAGTTGGGCCCCTCAGAGGCCAAACCCATAGTTTCCAAATCTCTGGCCAGAGTTGAATTATTGTGTCCCCCACCTGAGACAGAAGGTCTCTCCTGACTGGAATCTCCAAGGGAGAGCCATCAAGGAGATATATAAAGTCCATGAACCAAATCCGGCTCGGCCAGCGAGGTGCAACTAGCAGTAGGCTTATTCCAGTCTGGCGGACTCTCTCCAGAACTCCGAGGAGCAGAGCAATTGGGGAAAATGCATACAGACACAGCCTCGGCCACATCTGTACCATAGCGTCCAGGGGGGTTGGAGTGAGGGAAAACCAGAGTGGAAAATGCGTTGTGTTCTGAGACGCAAATAGATCCACTTCTGCTCGGCCATAAACTTCCCATATGAACTCCACTACCTAGGGTTGGAGTCTCGACAGGATGTCTGCTCCTATATTCTGGCACCCTGGGACATACACTGCCCTCAGGGAGAGTATCTTTCCTAGGGACCACAGGAGGATCTGGTGCGTCAGTTTGCATAGTGGACACGAGCGCATACCCCCTGGTGATTTATGTAAGAGACCACCAATGTGTTGTCTGGCCTCTCAATGTCTCAATGCAATGAAGACTGCCATCATTTCCAGGCAATTTATGTACCACGAAATATGACTCCTCCAGAGACCCTGAGCTGAGCGGCCTTTCATTGTCTTTCATTCCCAGCCAGTGAGGGAAGCATCTGTCGAGATAGCAACCCGATGGCAAAGAACTCCTAACACTGGACCCTGGGATAGGAAGCAAGATTTCCTACATATAACCAAGGCACGGAGACACCACTGTGTGATCTTGATTATACAAAGTGGGTTTTCTCTGGGATTCTCCTGAGGCACCACTGCAAAGGTCTGATGTACGGCCGCCGCTGCCATGACGCCTAACACATCTCTCAAACTGTTTCACAATGCGTGACTTGACTAGCTTTAGCTCTTTTGTGGCTGTGAGGATAGCAGCCGATAGGACGGTTCGCTTAGTGACTGAATCCAAGACCACACCAAGAAAAGTGGTCCTCTGTACTGGAGAAAGCACACTCTTCTTAGCATCGAGCCTCAACCCCAGTTTCTCCTCGTGTGCGAGGACAACATCTCGATCCCGAACCGCCTACTGCTCTGATTCCACTAAAATCAGCCAGTCGTCATTGTAATTCAAAATGCGTATGCCTTGTAGCCTGAGCGACAGATGAAGATCTAGTATAGGACGCAACCCCCCATACTTTTTTGGAACCATGAAGTAGTGGCTGTAAAAAGCCTGCTCGGGATGCACTAGCGTGATCAACACCCCGTTGTAGCGTGGTGGATGAGAACCAAACTGTATTCTGTATCCACTTTCTACCATCTGCTGGACCCATTGAGATGTGTTTGGCAGATTTTTCCATTCTGTCAGATAATCTACTAAGGGTTCCAGCCTCTCGAGACTGGCCTCTTGTTTAACGGCCCCCTGAGGGCATCGAGATGGAACAGGCACTGTATACCGAGGTGTACACCGCTCCACCCCAATTGGGGCTGCCCTCAGCGGTCTGACGCCGGTGGCATCAGGACCTTTTCTCAGCCGAAGCCTTCTTAATGTGAAGAACGGTCCTCATTTCTGGCTTCTGCTTTGAAGGCTTCGGCTGAGAGTGTCGCCCCGGCCCCCATGATTTTGGAGGAGAAGCACGGGATGCAACACTCTCTTTTAGTTGCGCTCTATATGAGGAGCTCGACGGCTGGAGCTGCTGGGTGTGGCGAGGGAGATATTTTTAAATGCCTCAGATTGCTTTTTGGCCTCCTGGAA